GGCGGAGGCCCGTTTGGCGCGCCGGGCGCCGCGCCCGCGTTCGGCGGCGGCGGGCCTTTCGGCGGCGGCGGCGGCGGCGCGTTTGGGGCGGGCGCGGAGCCGGTGTTCGGGCTGGGTGCGATTGAGGCGGAGGTCAGGAAGCGGCGGCGGTCGGGCAGCGCGGGCGGCGCCGGCTCGTTTGGCGGCGGCGGCGGCGGCGCCCCGCAGCTGACGGTGCAGGTCAGGGAAGCGGCGCCGGCGCAGCAGCAGCAGCAGCAGCAGCAGCAGCAGCAGCAGCAGCAGGAGCAGCTCTTGGTGGACCCCCTCTCGCTGCACCGGCCCTGGTGCCCCTGGGTGGCGGGGACGCCCGGCGGCGGCGCGAGCGGCTGGGCTTGCTGCCTGGCAGCGCTGGTCGAGGCGGGCGCCCTGCGCCCGCCTGCGGCCGGCGCTGCGGCGGCGGCGGCGCAAGAGGCAGCAGCGCAAGAGGCAGCGGGCGCGGGCGCGGGCGGCGGGGCGCTGGCGCCGGTTGATGTGCGGCGGGTGGAAGAGGAGGTGCGGCGCAGCCGGGCGGCGGCGGCGGCGAAGCTGCGGGCCGCGCTGGACGCGCTCGGCGGGGCGTGAGTGCGCCGGGGCCCGCGGCGCGCAGCTTCTCGGTGACCCCTGCGTCAACCCACGGCACGCGTCACCTCGGCTGACGCTCCCCGGTGACATGCTGCCCCAACACCCCTGGCTGCACATGGTAACGCTTTCGTTTCTGCCGAAAGCAAACCAGATACAGCGGCATTCAGACAGCGCTCGCATTCTAGGAAAGCAAATCAAACAGCTGAAGTTCAGCATGGGTTGATACGTGGTTGTAATTACATGGTGTGAGTGTGTGTGTATGTGTGGTGCATGGCAGCGGTATGGTAACGGTGGTTGTACATGCAGGCGTCGTCCGTAGGGGCCCTTGGGTCAGTTCGTGGTGGGAGGCAAAAGCAGCGACACTCGCCTGAAAAATCGGGGGGCCGGCCTGCGCGGCGGCGGCCTGGGCAAAGCTGCTGGGGGTGGGCGGCCCACTTGGGCGGGCGGCGCCACGTAAGGGAGATTTTGAGGGGTCTGCTCCGCGCTCTCAACAAGGCGCGCGCCCCCGCGCCCCGAGGGCCCCGCGCCGGGGGCCGCTTGGCGGGGCGCCGGGCGCCCGGGCGGGTGCCCGACAGGGCGGGGTGCGCGCGAGGGGGGTCGGGGGGTACAAGGTACACGCATAGGGGGGGGGGCGCCGCCGACGCCCGCGGGTGGCGGGCGGCGGGGACAAAAGAATAGCAAAGGGGGGTTGGGAGGGGCGCAGGGCGGGGCGCAGCAGGCTTCTGGCGATTCGTCCAAGTCGGCGTCCTTCTTTCCGAACGATAGGCGGCCTGGACCGAGAACACAGGCCAAGGCAGGGGCACGGGGCGCGGGCACGCGCCCGCGGGCCCGGCGGTCGGTGCTGTTGTAGTGCGTGAGTTGTGCAGGCTTGAATGTATGGGTTGCCCGAGGGGGCCCGGGCCGGGGCGGATAAAAGGCAGTATCTTATGGCGGAGGGCTGACTGAGGGAGCCGGCCCGCACGCATTGAGGGGATTAAGAATAACAGGGGGCGCGCCGCCTGCCAGCCTGCCCGACCGGTGCCGCGCGGCGCGCGCGAGAGCGCAACCCCGAGCGTGCGCGCCGCGGCTGCTGGGCGGCCGCTGGGCGGCCGCGGCGGCCCCCGCGGGGGTGAGTATCAGGGGCCGTGGCACGGGGGCACGCGCGCGTGGGACACCCCTCGCTCGCGGCCGGGCTGAGGGGCAGGGGAGCAATGACCTCCGCACCCTCTGCCGCCCGAAAGTGCCACCGTCCCCCAGAGCGCAAGGCGGCGGCGCGCAGGAATCCCAACCGAAGCCTCCACGCTCCGCTCAACACAAAGCCCTCATCCTCTCGCTCCCCGGCGCGTCCGGGGCGCTGCACGGGGAGCCGTTCGCCTCACATCTTGCAAACCGCCGCGCCACCGCCCGCGCCGTCGCCGCCCTCGCCCTCGGCCCCATCCGCCGCCCTGGACGCGGCGGCCACCAGCGCCTCCTCCTCCTCCAACTCAACGCAGTCCCCGTCGCTGCTGTCGCTGCCGCTGTCGCTGCCCTCCGGCGTCTTCGGCGCCTCGGCGCCGCCGTCGCTCGGCGCGGCGGCGGCCGCGGCGGCGGCGAGCTTCTCCTCGAGCGTCGCGGGGGGCGGGCCGATGGCGAGGGTGGAGGAGTGGGGCGCGGGGACGGCGTTCTGGGAGAGCAGGGCGGCGGCGCCGGCCACGGCCTTGGCGTGGTCGATGTAGAGCACCTTGGGGGGGATTGGTTGATCGT